CCCTACTTAAAAAGGGCTCAGTTTTTTTGTCAGAAGACAACAGCAAATCCAAACAAGACTCGAAATTTCACCTTTGACACGCTACCCACGAACTGACCTTGCAGACAAACCGGGTCTGCTCACCCTCCACCCGCATTAATGGCGAAGTGTGCCAAAACCCCTCGTTGCCTCTCTTTTTCGCAAAGAAAGATTCCTACGCAGGTCAAATTATAGTCATGTCATAACAATGATAAAGGACATTAGTTGAAAACAAAAGACAAATAGAAAGTGAGGAAAGAATACCTTCATTGACTAAGAAACAGGTATGTAAAGTAGGAGCAGTGTCAGAGCCAGAGTGACCAGCTTCAGTGCTAGAAGAAACAGCAGGAGCAACTTGCAGAGGAAAGAAGAAGAAATAAAGAGAAAAAAAAAAGGAAAGTGAGGAAAGCAGCTTCTGAAAAACAGATTAGTATCACTGAAGAATGAAAAACAAAACTGGAGGAAACTGTGGTAATATTCAACTTAAAAAAAATCCCAGGTTTTACAGGAAGTGCAATGCCAGTGAGTGGAAGACATGCAGCTGCAGAGAAACACAGATACACTAACAGAAACTCGCATGTTCGGGAAAGACAAAAGTACCTGTAAATAAAGAGATTACAAATGTCTTCAGATGGCTAGGTTTGGTTTGACAGCACGGTTGACTAGGAACTAAAAAACAGGAGTTTTGCTGCTGCTTCTTGGGCTTTCCCCTTATTTAGACAGACTTGGAATTTGCACTACTCATTAACAGCCCTAGAAATCACCCTTTTAAACCTGGGCTGTCCCATCTGCCGCTCCGAGATGTCACCGAGTGTATTACTGATGGCTAGTTTTAATACAGCTTCATTTTAAATGTGTCCCCATTCAAGTAATTTTAAACCTGCACCAAAGAAAGGACTAAGAATCTGAAGCAGAAGCACACAAAGCGGCAAACAGAGAAGAGCACGGCTCAAGCACGTTACTCAAAGCAGTACCCGTGACATTTATTTCGTACACTGCATCATTTCTTGGTGCAAATGTGATTTAAAAGCAATTCTAAACATTATACTCCCACTAATGCTTCATGACTTAATATTATCACATGAAAAGATGCGCAGACCTTATGGCATACACATGCTACAGCCCGAGGTCAACGTGGAGATTTAGAGGTCACTATCTGACACTTCCTTCCTATAGAGAAATTACCATATGTCATGCACAAGCATCTTCAAATTAATCCCCCTCTTTTATTCCGTTGCAGAACAACAATGGGTTCAAGCTCCTGACCGATTAAGCATTGTCTTCTGAATGGTCTGTTTGCTTTTCATGCAGTGAACTTCTTTTGTCACTGTGGGACATCTGCATCAAAACTACTTCTTCCATACTTTCCACACAAATGCATCACGATGGCACGCGTACAGTGACAGGGCGACCGGCGTCAATCACTTCAGCAGTTTCAGTAGGAGATGTATAAAAAAAAGCTATTTATGTCATGAAAAAGACTGTTTGTAAAAACACAAAACCACCCCGTACTGAAACGGAAGTCCTACTCTGCAGATTCTTTTTTGCCTCGTTTTGCTGTAGCCGTTCACTCTCCTCCGACACCAGCAGCTACAACAATCACTGCCATGGAAGCAGCTGGCCCAGCAGCCGAGCAGCACAGAGCTGTGCTCATCTCGGGACAGATACAGGTCAAACTGACGAAGACCAAACATGCCCTAAAATGCATTAATTGTATCTCCAACTGATTTTCAAGAGTACTAGCACTGGAAATTTATGAGTGGCGAGAGACTGCAAGTAGTGCACAACGGGATGTAAAGGTAAGACCCTGAGGGAACTCATGACCACGAGCGCCACTCGGAAACTAACCTGTCTTCCCCCAAGGGCATGCAAGACGTGCCACTGGACACGGGAAAAGACGAAAATTTAGGAAAAGGAGTACTTTTCTGTACTTTTGACAGTATACAGAACTTCATCTTTATTAACTGTTTCTCATGCAGTTATAAATATTTCCACTGGGTAACTAAAGTGTGTCTATCCCCAGAATTAGCAAAGCTATTTCAAAGAAAAACTACACAGTTGTCCTTCAGGAGAGAAAAACCACAATGGAACTAGATCTTTAAAACAAAACATGGACACAGACTCTCTCTGTGCCGAATATGTTTTTTCTCACATTGAATTTGCCATATAGACACCTTCTCTGAGAAATTCTGACCCTTCAGATAACCATCTTTCAAAGAGGAAAAGTAAATGGCTGTGAAAACAACACAAGGGAAGCAAAACAAGAAAGGCCCCACACGTTGAGACAAGAGCCATTTTTTTTCATTTCTGCTTTTTGTTATTGACCATTACTTGTCTAGTTCTGCAGCACCCTTGGTCATGAAAAAACCTTGACAGTACTACTCCTGAAACTCATTTTCCCTTCCTAACCAAAGACCACAGTAAATTAACGGTTGTATCCAGGAACAGAATAAACAAACACAAATGAAGTTCATGGGCAAGTTTCCTCCTCAGATAGAAACATCCCCCTTTTCCACACCTGAGCAAAGAGAATCACACAGCTGATGTATAAATTGCCTGTTGTGCTTACTAGCTCCCTAATACAACAGCAATTGCACACTTTAAAAAGATTTTTAAAGACATACATATATATTTAACATACATCTTTAAAGATTGTCATTATGGCATTTACTGCAACATCCCAAGTATCTGTATTCTACAAAACGCAATCATTTTACACATTGCAAGGTTCTTCATACTCATACGGCTTGAAAGGCAAAGTTTTTATAGGTAACAGGTAAAAGTTAAAAAGCAAAGATAATTCCCCGCCAGCCAGAACCAACCTTTGGCTGGTCCGACAGGGATTTTATTCCCCTGCTAACCCGGCAGGTAACCACTGCCCCGGCTCTGGGGCAGGCAGCCGTCCGGCGCTGCCTTCGCTCCCCTCGCGCCCACACCGGCTGCCTCCAAGAGCCGCCCCACGCTCTGCCCAGCAGCTCACTCGCTCCTCAGTTCTGAGCTCGAGTCAGAATTGGCCACATCACGGTGGTTTACACTGATTTGTGGCATTAAGAGTAGCTGCTCGTTTGCCCCACCAAGCAGCAGCTCTAATTTCTAGAGTGAGGAGAAAGGCGCCTCCTCCTGCATCTCTCCAGTCCCAGCAGAACTGTTTCCGTGCGCCTCTGCTGCCCAGAGGAAGCTCTAGTCCCCGCTCCACCTTACTCTAGTGGAAAATCCGTGTCTAATCCTGTGTACATTCTTCTTACACACCTCATGCTGTTCCACCTCCTGTACTCAACCATCATACCCAGGAAAGACAATGCAGGCTATTAACGGGTCCTTCAGCGTCATCCACTGCCATCTTTCCTAACTGCAAGTGATGAAAATAGCAGCAGCAGCAGCGTTAAAATAAAATAATTCCTTCCTCCTTCATAAAAAGGAGAGGAAATGTACACATACTACTTAGATGTGTCTACCTTTATGCTTTAGCTTACAACATACACGAACAGTTTCGCATTAGTCTGTACAGCTCTTAGTTACAGGCTTTAAACCTCTCACTGGCACCTCAACACCAGAATGTTTGGAAGCACTCAAAATAGGCAAAAATTCATTGTCAGGGAATGACTTCATGACAGTATCAGCATCTTACCAATTCTTAAGAAGGTCTTAGTCACCAAAATTTTTTATCTAGAATATTACACTACTTTTTCCTACCACGTAGAAGCTAGCAATATTTTTATCACTTGATAGTAAGATGGTAACTTCAGTGTCAAGAGCTGAAATGACATATGAAATTGTTCCAAAGCGAGCGATTTTTACCTTGCTTGATCTGTCCTTGGGCTGCATGACTTGAAATGGAAGGAGGTGCCTTCACTTTTGACATCTCAGGAGTGCCTGGCCTAGGTGGCCTAAACACAAAATATTCATCAAGGGGGAGGAGGAGAAGGAGGATAAGGGAAGGGGCGGGGTGAGGGAGAAGAGAGATTATTTGCTAAGGATACATGACTAAACAAACTTTGAAAAGCAAACATATAGAAAACAGTTGGTTTGACAGAAGGAAAAAAAAAAAAGAAAAAAGAGAAAAAACTTCCCTCATTTACAATTCTTGTCAAGCTTATTTTTTGGTGATAAAAAGTTCATCTATGTTTTGATTTATTTATAGTTTAACCTACTCACTACAAAAACTCTTTAAAAACACTAAGCACTAAAAAGGAGGACAAAAACGGCCTCTCAGGCCTACTGGTACATATGTGAATACAACTCCACATTCTGCTGACGGTGTAAATTACACAACTCTATTCAAAGCATTATAGTTATCTTGGCATAAAAACCGCTACCTTCAAGGAAGAAGAAGAAAAGCACTCAGTTCCATCTAGGTATCAAACCCATAGCCATTTAGTACATCAAACCCCACCGTAAAATTACACAAAATCAAATGCTGTATCAAAACAGAGACTCTGAAAGAAAAAGTTATCACAAGATCAGGCGAGTATTTGCTGTACCTGGTCGGACCTTTCTTCATGTGGTCTCCGATAAAGGTTGCGTTGGTCATACTCATCAGTGTGTTGGCCAGCGAGATGACAGACAGGAGATGCTGCGTGGTGACGGCACGCGACACCCCGTACGTCCCCTTCCCGAGTCCTTCTGTAACAGACATTTTCCTTCCTACCTCCACGCTACCGTAGGACGGTTTGCCGACAGGCTGGTTATAGCCAGGAAGCATCAGAGACATGTGGCCTCCTCTAGACAGGAGGCCAAAGGACACCGAACAGTGTGGCTTGAGCATCCCGAGACGATCGAGGCAAAGCTCATCCAGAACAGAATTCAGGCCCCAGGCATGAAGACAGGACATGAAAAGCTTTGCTGTATCCATGGTTAGATTATATTCTAATAAAGTTAATGGCTTAGATTTGCTAGAGCGATATTCTGGGTCACCATCTTCTCTTCTCTGTCTTATCGATTCTTCATCCTCATCATCATCATCAAGGAGATGCTCTTTTATATTCTCTTTGATTGTTTCCTTGACCTGCTGGAAGAGGACGGCTGCTCGTTTACCAGTCAAGAAGGAGCCTCCTTTGTCGGACCCGCCAGAGGCTTTCTGTAAATTCTCCGGAGAAATGAGCGCAGTGTTGGGTCTGGAGGCCTCCTCAGTCAGCAGCTGAATAATCAGGGCTTCTACATCAAAGAAGAGCACATGTATATCTGGATCTGTTAAGTTTGTCTTTATAGCTTGAACCATCAGGGAGTTATGGGAATATTTAGGTAAATTCCCCTGAAAAAAAGGAAAAAAAGAAAAAAAATCGACATTTCAGTTGGATTAGGTAACACCTTCCATCAAGTTAATTCACAAATTAAGGAAGCTGTGGATGATGGAAGTTTGAAAACTCACACGAGTATAAAACCTGTTATGATAAACGTTATGAAAATATCAGTGAAGAATTTTACAGTACTTCACACAATGTCAGGAACGTCAGACTTGAGATCAAGTGCTACACCCCTAAAACACAGAAATGTCGCTTACAGAAGTTTATCAGACAGTTTATCAGTTTATCTTATCTCTAGATAAGAGAAGTTCACATTTCTTTCTTATGAATTTTAAAAGATAATAGTTATATTCCAAGGAACAATAAAATGTCAGTATTTTATTATTATTACACTTCAAACACACCAAACAGTTCATATTTGCATACTGAAGTATAGCATCTATTTATGCCATTGGAAAATAAGTTACTAATAAATTTGTCCAGATAAGCAATTAGTGTGTCACTTGTGGTTCACTCCACTACTCAAGTCCATCTTCTTCCTCCTTCCCTTCCTCCCAAAGGAAAAAAAAAAAAAAAAAAAAAAGAAAATTAAAATGCTACAGGATAAGAGCTGAAAGAATTCAGAAAAGGAGATTGTACAAAAGAACATTAATGTAAGTTTGAGACCTTTATTCTCTCCATGACAAACACAAAGTATGCTCAAGTACTTGGCTTCCTCCAAGTGAACAACAATCTTTTAACAGAAGTGATAGGTATGCACACATATATACACACGTACACTACAAATACACACAGGCTATACAACCAAGTGACATACACTCTATATATCTTGCAAAAATGCAAACATTCTGTACAGATACACTAACTGTAACACGTTTTTACCCTGTCCTATGTACGTCCCGATATACTGCTTCCCTTGCTCGCCAGCGTGAAGCAATGGGCACATCTTAAAGCTCTAAACACCCTGGGCCATAGGAGTGGTCACCACTGAAAGTCTGCTGAGCTGCAGATCTGTTATTGCTAACAACACCCACCCTCTTGCATTTTTCAACCTTCTCATTCTACCTCTGAAACCCAACAAATGTTTCTGTGATTCCTAGTGATAAATACAAATGGATATTCTACTTCACGTCTCACAACTGGAGAATTGGACATGCATACGTACCCTTTACTTTCTCCCAAGGATTTGTTTTCAAGACAGTAAGCATTTCTAGTCTTGGCTGCTTTAAGTTTTGTACAAATTGCATAGCACGTGTTTGAAAATTGAATTAGTTTTCATATATATCTCTTCCTTTACAGCTGTAAAGACTCCCAAAATACTGTTGGCATGAAAGGATATAACATCCATCCCATCACGTTCAATTATTGTTCCAATGAACCCGGCTTTGGAATAAGCATGTTGTTTTATTTCTCAAGGTTCTCGTTCACACAGCACTCTGCTTCTTCTGTGGCTGTTAGTTACCGCATATTCCCCAAGAACGCCAGACTGCTTTTTACAGTAAAAAGCTTCCAGAGGAAGAGCTGACCTCTCTGAAGTTTTACATAAGCTTTACATGGGAAACCGATCGATCTCACTAGTTCTTGCTCACTTTCAGAGGATGATTCTCAACACACACACACAAACGTTTTATGTCATTCCCACGCACTCATTTGGTAGCAAACGAACCCAAGATCCAAACGCACACCCACACAGAGTGCAATACTCTAAACACAGCAAAAGGCTCTCCCACAATGAAATGCAGACCTGGCAAAGTCTTCAATACTATCTGCTACTCCACTGGAATAGAGTAATTTTTCATTTCTGTCTTTCCCCAAATTAAAACCCATTTCACTTATGTAATAAAGGTAAGGCACTACCAGAAAAGTCACATTCGGTCACAGGAACTATGAAAGAAAACCTAAACCAAGACCACCCTCCCCCCTGCTTGTGCTGCACTTCTGGAGGAGCCGCAGCACGGGCCAGCTCACCGTGCCAGGCAAGCAGCCAAATTCTGCTCCTTCCCCTGCAGGTCAGCTTGGAGAATGACTAAACTATGCTTCTTAAATAAATTTGGCATGAGAAACAAATAATGGCTAATTGAAACCGGAATAGTAATAATTAAATACCAATAGCTAACAGCTGCAAATTATGTTCTACAATGCAATGATTTACTCACGTATTCTTATTTATTTAAAAAATCTAGTTACTGTCTCAGAATGTAATGCAGGCGACTTTTTATTAAGCGGTCTCTGGTAATGGTCACAACGGTAAAATTAAAAGCAACAGCATAACCTAAATATTTCAGCTGTTCATTATCACTGACCTCTGGCACAGAGCACATGGTGCTGGGCTACGCACCACGCCTCTGCAGGCAGCAGCACCCTCACTAGGTGTGAGGAACCCGCACCCGGCGCACGAACACCTGCACGAACAAGCGGAAGGTTCACACCGACGGGTGGGAAGGGCTGCAGCGGACGCAGCAGCTCACAGCCTGCACGCACGTGTGTTCGTACGGTCACGACGGTGGTGGTGTCAGGAACGCTCTCCAGGTGACGTTTCTTTCCCAAACGGAACGTAAGAGAAGGCAGCGCCACAGCCAAGCGCCAAAAGGCAGGTGGGGCTGGCGCAGAGCTCTGCTGCTCTCTGCTGGTCCCAGCCCAGGCTGCCTCACCGAAAAGGGGAGCAGCGACCACACCAGCTCTTCTTGTTTGGGCTCCGGTGACACCTCTGAGCAGCATCGACAGACCACGCAAATTTAACACCTGTCTGCTCCGACAGGTCTTTATGAAGAGAAAGGTTATGACAAGGGCAGAGCGCTGGAGTCACCAACACCAGCAAAGGTAAGCAGGTCACAACCGGAGAATCACTAAGGCTGGGATCCTCCGGTCCAACCCCCTGCTCAAAGCAGGTCCTCTAGAGCAAGGTGCTGAGGGCAAGGAAAGTCTCTTACACACATCTCTCGCACTCCAAGGATATTTTTCCCAGTTTTCTCCAAGATAATTTTGTACTTCCTTCTACTAATCTTTAACAGGAAGACAAAAATTTCAAAGTCAGGGGCCATGTTCTTTCTGTGACAAAGTTCATAAAACCCTGACAAGGTCAGAGCTTACCTTTCCTCTGTGCTTGGCCAACACACAAACGCATGATGCAGAGCCCAAGAGAAAGCTCCTCCTTCAAGCTCTCCTCTGACCACCCGCACTGACGTGCTATTGAGCCCACCAGCTGAACTACCACCGATAGCTAAGCCTATTTCTAAAATTCACTGTTTGCTTTTTTGTCCCATCTCTACAAAGTGATGCTGTCAGATGCCTGTTACTTTTCAAAACGGTCAGTCCAAATCCATCAGACCAATTAATAACTAGGCACATCAAAATTAAAAGAACTAGCTCTTGTACTGTTCTATCCTCCATACCGAAGTTCCCTAAAACTCGTACACTGTACTAGCTTTTCTTAGGATAACATGCCATGTTGTACTCTATTTGCTCTTCAGAATAAGAAAATTTATGCTAAAATGTAAAAATTAGGTCTTTATACAATTTGAAATCCAAGTTATTTCTTACTGTGAGATGTCAATTTGAAAAAAAGCTCGTTGTTAAAAGAGGCACTTCCCCACATCTCAAAATATCTAAGGTGCTTCCAGGTTGTGCAATAACCACCTGGCTGGGGAAAACTCATCCTCCGACTGCAAAGACTAACGGGCAGGCTCGCTGTCCCGCCACTGCTCCGACACCTAACGACTCTCATCATTATGACACTATCAGAAAGTTCTGCTTACCAGAGCTCTTAACACTTACCGCTCAGATTGGGAAGTCGCCTGTTGTTAGAGTACTCAGCAACATCCACCTGCGTTGCCAAGTTTCGTGTCTACAGGAACACGCGTACACACGCTGTGTCTCACGTGCCGTCTCCACACAGACATACAGCGCTCAGGAACAGTTAATGAGTGCTTTTAACAAGTTACTACTGACAGGTCCACTTGAATTCATCACTTAAATCATAAATATGATTTTTAAAGTCCTTCAACGTAAAGCATTGAAATATTTAGGAATCAACGAAGCCCATTAATATCTTCTAGCACTAAACACTTAATCTCTCAAACCGTAACTAATTTTCAGCATTAAAGCCACTTTGACTCCATTTCTATCTACTCATACATATACTTCAGTAATACTTTTTCTGAACTGCCACACAGCAACAACCACCAAAATAAAATCAAGCTCTAGCTCCACCTTTAGCAAGATCTGCAGGAATGGATAAAGCACATCCAATACCGGGGGAAGAAAGAAAAAAACAGATCAATGCTGATTCCATTCCTCAATGTTAGCACAAAACAAAAAGGGTGAGACTTGCTTCTGATGGATATGGGTCACAGGCTGGTTCCTTGTCTGCCCATCAATACCACAAATTGATAGAACGTATAAAATCGAGCAAATAGCCAGATTCTATAAAACACTGCTAAATCCAGATTTTAAAACGAACTCAGAAAAGAAACCAAACCAAAACAGTAGATGCTACCCCCCACTTCAGTGTGCATACATGAACAGCAACACAAATTGGGGAACAATGTCCAGAGATATGGAAGGGATTGTGTTGGGTGACATGAAAAATACGTTACTACCTATCTAGAAAGAGAGGAATTTATTTGGTGCATAACCTCTGTTCTCACTGAACCCAGAGAAAATACACAGTGAAAGCAGTACAGAGTTACAGACAGGAGAGTTTAGACTCCGGGCAGGAAAAGCCCTACCACTGAAAGCACAAAATAGAAGAGATGCAGATGAAATCTACAGCTACAGTTCAAAACCACGTAACTCCACCTGCACTGGAAACGGCACAGTGATGC